TAGTAGTAGTTGTTGTTGTCGTAGTACTCGTCGTCCTCGTAGAAGAAGTACCATCACTCGACCTCACCTTCAGTCTCAAGTCCATTCTGCGTAATTGTCTTTACTGCTTTCGTGAGTTTTCGACATGTGATATCGGATGTGTGACATATCGGTCAGTGGGATTTTCCGGGTACTGGTTTTGAGATCTCTTTCGTGTAGAGACACTGTTCGAGGCTTGCCTGGTTCGGGCCACGTGGAGCTAGCGACAACAGGTTTTGCCATCAAATTTCTTGTTGTAGAAACCCCGCTCAATATCCAATCCTGTAAACCTTTTGAGGCGGCGAAGTGCGTTCCTCGAAGCTATGAAACGCTTCGGATTTTTGAAAAGAGGCACTCATCGGCTGGCGGAGCCGGAGAACTCATTGCTTTGGGGGTCTCTGTTGCAAAGGTCAAGTTTTGAGACTTTCGATTCCGGGTTGTGCGTTGCATGTCGTCTGTTGCCATGAACCTAGAAGTTGTTTCATTTCTGAAGTTTAAATCAACTCAAAGCCCCATGACGGACATATAGATCTTCAAGCCGAAGCACGCACAAAGACTCTGAATCCCCAAGCTCGACGCCGCATCCTGCACACTGAAAAGGTGTACCTTTAACCAGATTCTGAGTCTATCAGCATTACACTTTAAATCTCAACTCCCATCTTATCTCGCTACTCGATGTGGCGGGCGTAGGCTTTGCTTTTTTCGGTTGAGGGTTCAGCTTACGTTAGGGCTTGGGGAAAATTTACAGCATCTCGACTTTCGAAGTTTGGGATTTTTGAGGCTTTCGGATCGTTCGGATCCCACAGGCGCCAGACAGAAGCTGCATGATTGGCAGCTGGCGGGGGCGTTTTACTTACCCTGGGTCTGTGTGACCTTCTTGCAGATCGCAAACTTTTCCTGTGGTGACGAGGCGCACTGAGGGGACTAACACACGGTCCAACCCCCGACCCCAACTCCACAAAACCCTGAGGCCAAACCACCGTCGACAATGACCGTAAATCCCTGAATCAGGCGCGGGATGGCTACTACTCTACTCGCCTGGTCTACTTCTGTTACCGGGCACTGCTGTCCGTGGCTCTGATGTGTCCCTTCCAGCCGCTGGGCTGTTTTGAGCACAAGGTGTACGGGTTCAGTGTGGAACATGTAAATGCCAGACGCGTACAGCGGGGCCTTGAGCAGAGGGATCTTCTCCAACGGGCCTTTTGGGTCGACTGAAGACTGAACTCTGAACCAACACCTTTGAACCGTCGCTTCAGGTGTACAGTAGCAGAGCTCATCTGCTCCGGAATGGTTGCGGCTGATGTCCAGAGATCCGAAGCACGAGCAGTTATGATGCTGGATTTGCTTGGAATTGGATTTTGTTGTTCTTGGGCTTGTATAGAAGCTTGCGTACTTCGTAATCGCCCCCCCCCCCCCGGCNNCCCCCCCCCCCCCCCCGGAGTTTCCTGCAAAGTAGTTCACTACATTCTGAGAATTCCCGCGACAGCACCCATGTCAAACATGTTCGGAATTTTTCTGACGCGAAATCAACAAACCCTATAAATCCAACCATGTCCGAAGGGATGGAGAGGTGAGCATGCAGGCATCATGATGACTGGTTCGGTTTTCGAAAGGGTTGTTGCTCACCCGACAACTCTGAGCTTCAAAGCCCGAAGTCGAGTATGTCTAGACACCCGTTTATGTCATGAAGCCCTGAATCCAAGCAATGTCCAGGATGTCCATAGAACTTACTTTTCTGCTTCTGATCTTCGCGGGGACATGCTTCCTGGGACAGCGGATGAATCTTGGATGGCTGCAGTTCAGGCTTCCTGCACCTCCTGCTCGGAAGATGGCACTTTCACTAAGCCGAGGCTTGATTGGGCTTTCGCCAATGCTCGCAAGGCGGAAGCGGCTCTCTCTGCGCACTTCGGCACCGAACCTAAACTCCAAACCCCTATACAAACTGAAACCGGGGGCCAGCCCCAAGTTCTTTAGTCTACTTTAGACTGTTCAGAAGTAATCTGTTTTTACGGTTTGTGGTTTAGGAGGGCTTTGGATATGTTCATCATGGCTACAAGAAGTCGGGAAATATCCTTGATTCCAACATCCCATTCGCAAATCAGACAAAGTCATCTGACCTTCATAGGCGGGTGTATTCTCAGAAGTCGGAAGCTACAGGCCCTGACGGCTATGTGCAGACAGTCCCAGTCTTATATAATTCATATCTAAACTGTAAGCCGGCAAGGTGGAGAGTTTTGCAGCGCCCTCGCAGCCCGCACCCGAAAGTGTAAACCCTGGGACTAGATGTTTAAAGATACCCATGAACCCATTAAGAGACGAGGCTCGTGGATGCCAGACTCGGGCTCATTGAGAAGCTGTGTGATGCGGAGGAGTCAAACACGATAGCTTTAGAGTTACCACGGGGTGTAGGGTTTGCGGGTTTGGAAGTCGGATTTAGGGTTTGGGTTTGGCTTGTTGCTTTCAGAATTTGGATTTGCATTCCTTATGGGTAGGTCTGCAGCGAGGAAACAGCTTCTTTTTATGTAGAAGGCCAGAATTTAAAGAACACCGGCAAGATTAACACAATGTGGTTTAGTTTTCCAGGGGTTCGAACTTCACCTTACAAACTTTCCATCGCTCCCTGCTCAGGGAGAAGTTTAGGAGCCTTGCTTTGGTGGGGCTGTCCTACGAAGAGCCTCAGGCTGTTAGTTTGGCTGTGCAGGCTGTGCATACTTTTGTAGTTTTATTGTGCCTTGTTTGCAGCTCCCGACAGCTTGCCCGTGGCTTTGTTGTGGCTCTTCTGCAGCTCCTTTTGAATTGCTTGAACTTGTGTCCCCTGACTTCGAAGGCTTTTCAGCATTGCTTCTGTCAAACCCACTATAGCTGGGGCAGCAGGGGCTTGTGGTCTACTGAGTCTACTGTCATAGCAAAACTCAAGCAGCATTCCGGGCTCAGCCATGAGACTTCTTTGGAGCTTGTAACTATACCGACTTGCTTGACTTCCTTCGGCAGAGCCAAGCGTGCAACCTCGAAGCCCAAACCCAGAAGCGCTTCAGCTCTCCGTCCATGTGCGCTCTCCCAGCCAGGTTGAACTCTCCGGGGATCTGAAAATGCTGGAAGCCAGTGCATCCTGGGGATCGAGGATGGGTATCCATCTCGCGAGCTTTGAGGTCGCCGGCACTTGCCGTGTTGGGCGGTGTTGCTTTTGTTACTGTTTCGGGTCTTTGTCGTGCCTGGTGAGGTCTTTATGAAACGGCACACCTTAGTTCTCCAAGCCCGAACCGTAACCCGAAAGACTTCTCGCTTGCACGCTTGATCTGAAGGTTTTGATTATCCCGAATGCCAGAAGTGGATAGTAGTTCCTACCCAAAGGTTTGCAGCACCGAAAATCTCAAGCGCACCCGAAAGCGAAAGCCCTCCGTCCAGGGCAGCTTCCTGGACATTGTCGACGAGGAAGATGAAGAGCGTGTTCTGACATTCTTGCGCTCTGCGAGCTCCGAGGGTTCCATGGCTGCGAAAAAGGGGGCCGGGCAGGTGCGCAGTGAGCCCTAAACCGAAGGTCGACGATATCAAGGAAGTCAGCTCAAGCTGTGTGGCCTCTCATTGTTTGCCGCTATTGAGCTTCGAGTGCTGGTGGCGTGGGTGAGAAGTCTAGACGATGTTTGCAACGCTTCGAGGGGCAGGATCTGTGATGTTATCGTAGTACCAGCAACCCCCACAATCAGCACTGTACTTCCCCTTGTGTATTCAACCAACTTCAGAACACGCAACATATTTCATCTTCTCAAACAAGGCTCAGCTTTGCAACCCCCGCCCCTCGCCCTCCCTGCTCCAATGGCCCAGGTGCCAGTAGCTGCATCCAGGCGAGTTTGCGGACATTTGCCGACGACCGCCTCGACGCACGCTTGTACCATGCGGCCCAATCGGGCCGCTCGGATGCCTGCCAGCATCGCCTGGCCGTTATCTTTCTGCGACCTGGCTGACCTTAGCAAAAGACAGGAGTAAAAGTAAGAATGGGAATTATATTGTCGACTTCAGCTTATTAGCAACCGCATTCCAGGTAATCACACTCAAAACTCAAAACCGTTGCAGCAGAGAGCGAAAGCTTTTAACGACCTCTTTCTCGCTTTCCCAACTGTATGATCAACTATCTCAAATTCTGAGTCACACCGGAACTCCGGCAACCGTCTTGAAAGGAGCCCTGAAATTGAGAAGTCCGTTCAGCGAATTTCCAGAGTTTGCCGCATCTTTCATTAAAATGAGTTTTCAAAAAACCAGCCCGATGCATTCCAAAGCATTTTCCACGCGCTTCCACCGAGCTTCATGTCGTCAATCCAGGCTGAATCATGGCTTACGAAACGTGACAGAACTGCAGGGAGAGGATGCACATGCAAAAGGAGCGAGCGAGAGAGAGAGAGAGAGAGTTGTCAGGATTGCTGTAACTCATATGGTTCATTAGACCTTTTCCTAACTGACATAAAAGTGAACCACAAATCTGCATGTGTCCATGGAGAACAGAACGTTCAACTACTCCCTTTTCTCGATATCGCAGTCTTTATGGCCTGAGCCTTGGAGTAGTTAATGTTCGTTTCTCACTCCGCAAAAACCGATCAAAAAGATCGGGTGGGCATATTGCCCGGGGACGGTGACACGTCCCTATGCCTGGGAGAGAGAGAGCGAGAGAGAGAGGGAGAGAAAGAGAGAGAGTGTGTCTGTGTGTGTGCACGCACATATTTAAACTTTCGGTTGACCGATTGCCAGGGAGAGGCCCAGAAACAGCCACAAATGCGGACATGTTGATTCTCAGTCTTCTCAAAATCAAATCCCAATTCAACATACACGTCCTTGAATCAGGCCGAACAAGCAAATGAAGGCGCCGCCCCAATCTGAATTTACTGAATATAGGTTTGTCTTTTAGAGCCGAGGGATTTCTGGGATTCCAGGTGTCGGCGTGCGGACTTCTCAAGAAGGAGCAAGATAAGAGTAGGACCTAGGGTGTGTGAGTAGGACTGGGTGTGGGAGTGGGAGTCGCAGTGCGAGTAGTAGTAGCAGTAGTAGTAGTAGTAGTAGTAGTAGTAGCAGTAGCAGTAGCAGTAGGAGTAGTAGTTTTAGTAGTAGTAGTAGTAGTAGTAGTAGTAGTTGTTGTTGTAGTGGTAGTGGTAGTGGTAGTGGTAGTGGTAGTGGTAGTGGTAGTGGTAGTGGTAGTGGTAGTGGTAGTGGTAGTGGTAGCGGTAGCGGTAGCGGTAGCGGTAGTGGTAGTGGTAGTGGTGGTGGTA